GCCCTATTTTTTTTTTTCTTTTTTTCCCATTTTTTATTTTGAAACAGGTTTTGATAAATTGACCAGGCTGACCTGAAACTTGGGGTCCTCCTGCCTCAGCCTTCTGAATTACTGCAACTATAGATAGTGCACCAATGCTTCCAGCTTTAGTATGGTTTTAGTCATACTTTATGTTTTAAATCAGATTTTTATTGGTGCATTTCAGCTACACATAATGATCACATTCATCATAGAGAATTCGTACCTCCTCACTTCTTTATCCACTCTTCCCTTTCCCCTTTACAAAGCTTTGTTTTTGGGGGCCGGGGAGATGGTTCAGTGGAATAAGCACTTCACTGGCAAGTGCAAGGGCCTGTGTTCAATCCCTGGTTCCGCCAAAAAAACCCCAAACAAACAAACAAACAAACAACAAAGCTTTGTTTCCATGATTTCTTCTCTATTTTCTTTTCTTTCCCTCTCACCTCTCCCTTTGTTCCCCTCCCCATTCCATTGTACATTTTCTTCCTTTTCTACAAAACTTATTATACAGCTTAGTCCTTATTTACACTTCCAGTTTCTCACACCAGAGATTGTGGCATTTACATATTATGTCTGATTTATTTCACTTAAGAGTATGGCCTCAAGGTGCATCCATTTTCCTAGAAATGTCTGGAGCACATCCTTTATGGCAGAGTAGTACTCCACTGTATAAAAAAAAATCACATCGTCTTTATCCATTCACCAGTTGGGTACCTGGGTTCTGAGATTTGGCTATTGTCAGCCTTGCCACTAGAAACATGGGAGAGCATATATCACTATGATACACCATGTTTAATTCCTTTGTGAAGATAACCAGGAGGAGGGTAATAGCTATGTCAAATGGAACTTCTACTCCTGGTTTTTTGAGGAATCTCTACACTGATTTTTCTCAGTCGTGCACCAGGTACACACCCACCAATAGTGAAGAAGGGTTCCTTTATCCCCATAGCCCCCAGCATATGTTATCAGTTGATTTCTTAATGATAGCCATTTTTTCTGGGGTGAGATGGAATCTCTTTTTTTATGTTCATCTCTTGAATGACCAATGATGTTGAACTTTTTTTCATATGTTTATTTGCTGTAAGTGCCTGATCATCTTCTATTCCCATTTTTGGATTAGGTCTTTAAATTTGGGAGGTCTGATTTTTTTTTTTTTTTTTTTTAGTTCTTTATATGTTCTCAGTAGTAATCTTTTTTCTGAGGCACACATCTGGCAAACCTTTTTTCCCTCATTATGGGTTGTCTCTTCATGCTGTTGGTGATTGGTCTTGTGCAGGTTTTAATGAGATCCCAGTTGTTGATTCTTTGTGGTAGTTGCTGTGCAGTTGTGGTTTTACTCCTTGCCTTTACCACTGTCTTTAAGAGTTTCACCTTCAATCATGCTTTAAAAATATAATTTCAATTACTTATATCTTATTACAGTAATAGTAATGCATAACATACATTTCCCCACTATCATTTTTTTTTTTTTCTCTGTTAGTATTTTTGTCTTCCTCAGTGTAACATATCAGGAGGCAGATACTGGGTGCTTAACTCCAGGGTCTTTGCACCAAACTGCATCAGTAGTTGTGTGTGTGTGTGTGTGTGTGTTAATTTGACGTACAGTCTCACCAAGTCATTACAGTGTCTGGACTAGGCTCAGGTTTGCAGTACTCCTTAGCCTCCTAGGATGCTGGGACTGCATGCATGGGCCACCATGCGTACTTTGTATTTATTACAGATACTAATTTTTTGTTTTTAAAGGTATTTGTCAGGTTTTTCCACTATTTTTCATTTCATGCAAGTTGTTTTCTCTGTTGTAATAATTTCTTTGAAATTATGTAGCTGTCCTATTCCCACCAAACTTTGATCTTAGTTTTAGCAATTATTGATAATTTATGCCTTATTATTTTTACTGTTTTCCACATACAGGGGTTTCTAGCTTCATCACTCAGTCATCTTAATTGCTGGAACTGTAGTAGAAGGGAGACTTACATTTTTTCTTTCCTGTGTATACTCACAGTGTTTCACGCATTTCATCGTGTACGAGTTCTGTTATCATTACTCTTTTATCTTTTTTTTTTTTTTTGGCGGCACCAGGGATTGAACTCAGGCCCTTGCGCTTGCCAGGGAAGCTCTTACTTCACCGAGCCATCTCCCCAGCCCTTCATTACTCTTTTAAACATTGCTTTTGCTACATTCTGACTCCTTTTCTCTGGGACTGTATTTAATCTTATGTTAGACCTTTCCATTGTCTTACGTATCTCTTACATTTCTGTATATTTCATCCCCTTTTCTTTCTGTGCTTTTTAATCTATTAATCATAATACTTTAAATCTGTACCTAAGGGTTGGGGATGTAGCTTAGTGGAAAGAGCTTGCTCATCATGAGTGAGGCCTGGGCTCCATAACCTAGTACTGGAAATAAGAAAGTCTGTGGTTCTTAACTTCCAGTATTTGAATCTCTTGTTTATTGCTATAATGCTCCTTCTCTGCATTTTTGATCTTTTTCTTTTTAATGTAGGAAAGCAGTTTGATAATTTGTTTTTAAAGTTATAAAAATGATATTCCTAGATCCCCAGAAGTGCAGTTTCTTTTTGCATTTTTTTTTTTTTTTTTTTTTGTGGAACTGGGGATTGAACTCAGGCCCTTGCACTCACCAGAGAAGCACTTATTTCACTGAGCCATCTCCCCAGCCCCTTCCCTGCAATTTTTTTTTTTTTTTTTTTTTTAAAGTTTTATTGATAAACATATAGCAATGAGACAGTTTCAAATCAAATCGAAAGTACAGTTTCAACAAATAATACACTGCATATATTCTTCTTAGTGGTTCCTGCAATTTCTTGATCTGTTGCATTAGTCAATTTATGGCAGATTTTTGCTATAATATACAATCCTAAAAAGTCAGGCTTTTTTTTTTTTATTTTTTTATTTAGTACAGTGTCTATAGGGTCTCATTACACAGATTGGACTCGTAGTGATACCCCTGTTTTGAGCCTCCCAAGTTCTGAGATTATAGGCATGTGCCACCATGCCCAGTTTCAGTCACCACCTCAAGTGCGCCCCAGGGGTGGGGCCAGCACAGCAGGCCGGGGACAGAACCCCCAGTCCCTGTGTCTGCCTAAGCAGGTGCTTTAATCCACTGAGCTATCTGGCCAGCTCCGGGCTTATTTTTTGCCTGGATCATATTTTGGTTCCTAAATACTTGCTGTCATAATCCATGCTTATCATGTTCTAGATGTCCAGTTCATTCTGGAATCTGGGATGAAGGAGAACCCCTATCAGGGATTGTTGACTTCAAAGCCAAAGTTAAGGAGAAGTAAGGAAAGGCTTTTAAAAGTCTGCTGAGTTGAAGGTCACATCGTTCCTGCTCACAGTGCAATGGCTCGTGCAAGTCTTTGGCTGAACGTGTTGTAGTGGATTAGCTAATGGTCAGTTTGTAACACCCAGCAGAGCTGAATCAGCATAGTACTGGGTGTGGAAGACCCACCTGAAGATTGTTGCCAACAGTATAAGAAAGAAAACTGGAGGGAAAGAGATGGTGCTGTTGATTTTCCTAGAGAAGCTTGTCATGCAGGTTTTCCCAAGAGGAACTCAGTGTTCTTATCATCAGAGAAGCTTTGGTCCTTGCTGTAGCTGAGGATGGCTGTGGTTCTTTTCTGGTGAGCTCTGATCCTTATCTTGAGTGTCACTTCCTGGCTGCAGTGCGGATCCCTCAGCCTTCTGGCACAGCTCCTTCATCGTACTGGTGCAAACTTTCTAGCTTCTATTGACCTTTTTGCCTTCCAAGGGCAGATCCTTGATAGAGACTTGCATGAGACATTGTGGTGGGCTCTAGGCTTCCAGCTGGACTCATGGAGGACATTGCCATGGCATCCAGGCCCTCAGATGGATTCTTTAGGTCTCTACTGAGTGGACAGATCTTCCACATACTTTTGGATTTGACTCTTTGGGTGAATATTATACAATAATTTATAAAATATGTGTCCTGTATTGTTTCCCTTGTGAACCCTGACTACAACACCTGCAGCTCATTATTTTGGACAGAATATTTATTGATTCAATAGGGTGGCATCACAAGTTATGTGGCAAGTGTAGGAAGAGTATAATTCTTTTCAAAAATAATTTGGAACACTAGTGAAATTTTACCGATGGTTCTAAAGAAGAAACTTTCAGTTTTGAAGAAAAGCTGCATGTGTATAAAGATACAAATACAAAATTATTATAAGTTATAAATTATAGTAAAGAATTTAATGGTATATTCAGCAAAATGTTTTTAAAATGACTGTTATATCTACCAGCATAGGAAAATACAGTTAATCTAATGTTAAATTTGAGCAGTGTGCAGTGTTTTCACTGTAGCCATGTGTACATGTGATCTTTTATGAGAAAATTGAAGACATGAAATTGACAGTAACTTATCTTAGAATGATAGACTTACAGATTTTTTTTCTAATTTATTGATACTATGCAGCTTGGACTTGTAGTGATCCTCCTGTTTCATCCTCTCCAGCTCTGGGATTATAGTCGCATGCCACCATACCTTGTTCTGGGGCTAGCACGGTATGCGGTACTGGGGATTGAACTTGGGTTCTTGTACTTGTCAGGCAGGTGCTTAGACCACTGAACTATCTCCCCAGCCCCTTGTTTTGTTTTTGGATTTAAACTTTTTGTAGTTGCTGTTATTATTTAATTTTATCTTTGTAATGTTATTTTTCATTCTAAATTATACACATATATGAAAAATGTTGAAAAATATAGAAGGGATTAAGAAATTAGTTTTAACTGCATCTCCAAAACTCACCACTATTAGTACTTTTTTTTGGTACATCAAAAAAAAAAAAAAAAAATGCTGGGATTGGGGATATAGCCCAGTTCTAAAGTACCTGTTTAGCATGTGCTGGGCCCTGGGTTCCAGCATGACCACCAAAAAAGGAAAAAAAAAAATTAGTGTATGTTAAAAAAATTATGATGTTAACTTTGTGTTGTCATGTTTCATTTCAGGTCCTGAAAATCCTTGGTTGATTCAAGCTTATGTTTCAGCAGCTAAACATCCTTTTGCTTCTGTGGTGGGTCAGGAGGTTTTTCAGAGTGGAATCATTCCTTCAGAAACTGACTTCCGTATCTACAGAGATTTTGGTAACATCCCAGGTATTTTATCAGTGGTTATAGGTCATTGCACAATGTTGATTTATCAGAAGTGGCCTTCACTACTGGAAAGTTTGTGAGTAAACAGCATTTGCTGAGAATACAATTTTTTTTTTTTTAAATGTATTTAGTACAGATTCTACAGGGTCTCACTACACAGGTTGGACTCATAGTGATCCTCCTGTTTTCAGCTTCCCAGGCACTGGGATTACAGGTGTGTACTATCACACTCAAAATGTCATGTCAGGGTGCCCCTGGGGGTGGGGCCAGCACAGCATGCCAGGGATCGAACCCTGGTTCTTGCGTCTGCCTAAACTGACACTTTAATCTGCTGAGCTATGTGGCCGGCCCTGAGAATACATTCTTTTCTTTTTGGTGGAACCAGGGTTTGAACTCAGGCCCTTACACTTGCCAAAAAAGCGCTTATGGTCTGGGGAGATAGCTCAGTAGAATAAGCACTTGCCTGGCAAGCACAAGGTCCTGAGTTCAATTCCCAGTACCGGAAAAAAAAAAAAAAAAAAGGCGCTTATTCTACTGAGCCATCTCCCCATCTCTGGCTCTTCTAGATTTCTTTTCCTCTTTTAAACTCCATGCTAATGTAAATGTTTGCCTCCTCTGTATCTTCCTATCCTGTAAAGTGCCAGAAGAGAGAACAGCTTAATACTTTATTCCCAAAAGATGATAACATAATCTGTTTGGGGGTCTTTGACTTGCCCTGTTGTTTTGCATGCTCCCTCCTTTGGTGCTGTGTATAATGCAGGTCAGTGATGGCCTTTTATAGAATGAGTGCCAAATTCCAACCTAAAACCCACTGATTATTGCAGCATGCCAACATTGTAAATATACCTGAATTCTGAGGTTATAGTTTAGAAAATCTACATTAACATCTTTTGTCTTAAAAATACAACGACATGTGCTATAGGTTTGCAATTACTGGCTTTGGTGAAGCTCAGATTTGGCTCTGGCTTGACAAAGATATAGGTGGTGAAGTTTTTTTTGTGTGTCACTGGGAGTGGAACCTAGGACCTTATGTATATATGCTAATCAAGGGCTGTACCAGTGAGCTATACTCTCCAGCCCTGGATGGCAAAGATGAACACATAAACGCATTGCTTTGATGTATTATGTCTCCCTGTGGAATGTTGTACCCTCTTAATTATTATGTGTTGAATTAAGTACCTTGACTATAGGTTTTGTAAGAATATGGAAGACAATTTGTCATTCATTTATAAATATGACAAAGCAGTCATCCTACTTCTCTGACGTTTTATCTTTTTAAGAATTTAATACAGTGGTACCTTTGCTCACAAACTCAATTTTTCTATGATTCTGATCATAAACCCAGCTGAATGAGAATCAAACAAAATTTCCCCATAAGGTTAATGTTGAACTGAACCAATTAATTTGATTCAGTTCTGAACCATGTTGGTTTGCAACCAGAATCATGGAAAGAATCAAGTTCTTGAACCAAGGGACCACTGAATAGGCCTAAAGCAAGGTTGTTCTTCAAAGCAAAATTACTTTTTTTCCCTGTGTTTTAGGAATAGACTTAGCTTTTATTGAGAATGGATACATTTATCACACCAAGTATGACACAGCAGACAGAATTTCAACAGATTCCATTCAGAGAGCAGGTTGGTATTTCAAGTTTGAATTTTATACTGTAAAATGAAATATTAGGTATAACCTAAATATGTGTGTTTTGCAGCCAGTGCATTAGAAAAGTGCTTTGTGGTAGAATGAGTTAGGGATTTGGGGTTTGATCGATGAAGGCTTAAATTTTAGTTCTCTGTAGTTTAGTAGTTTAGAACGTACACAGTTACCATGAGGATTTAGAAAGGGAGTCACCCAGGTTCATGGTAAGATTGCTGCACAGTAATTTACAGTCAACACTGTAAATTGGAGGTAGTAGTAGGACACATCAAGGAAAACAGTTTCATGGATTTATGGTTGGGTAGTGTGGGAGCAGGTGAGAACTTCATGACAGGGAGTTAAAGTGCTTTCCAGAGAGTTTTGGAAAAATCAGGAGAAGCCAGTCTGTTATTCATCCTTAAAGATTTGGTTGGATTTGGTGTGTGGAGAAAAGAGGATGTTCCAAGCTAGAACACAGTATGAGAAGGATGTGTTTCTAGGAGGCTGTCTGCGAGTAGTTGCTGGATTAGAGTGAAATAGTATCTTCAGAAATAGAGGGAAACAGGAACAGCAGGAAGCTTTGCTTATTCATATCCTACCCCACTGTTTGTTTACTCAAATAGTAGGTGGTTTGTTTTTGATTTGTTTAGTTCTACATGTAGATCACATTCAAATAACTTACTCAACATTGTTATCTTCCTTTACTAATAGGTGACAACATTTTAGCAGTTCTGAAATACTTAGCTACATCGGATATACTGACTTTTTCCTCTGAATATCGACATGGAAAGATGGTCTTCTTTGATGTGCTTGGCTTGTTTGTCATTGCTTACCCCTATCGTGTTGGCTTAATAATAAACAGCATGGTTGGGATGGCTGCTGTTTTGTACCTGGGCAGAAAACTGTTGCAGCCCAAACCTAAGTGTAAGTATTTTCCTCTAAAGCTGTGCTGGCAGCTGTAGGTCTCACTGAAGATCTTTAGTCAGCATTCCTGTATCCTCCCAGGTAGTTAAGAATCTTGAGAAAATAATACTTGATTTATATTGTAAAAAAATTCTTAACTATTAGGTTGATAAGCTCTTATACTTGTAGGCTTTGTGAGTAGACAATTTTTATGAACTTCATAGAAATAACATAGGAAACAATGAAAGATTGTTTGTATAGACTGATGTTTAATGAAAACTTCTATTAAAAGGTCTTTCCTGCTGAGCATGGTGGCACATGCCTGTAATCTCAGCACTTGAGGCTGAGGCAGGAGGATCTCTGTGAGCTCAAGAGTAGCTGAGGCTACCTAGTGAGTTGTCTGAACTAAATAGAGAGACCCTATTTCAAACAACAACAAAAAAATCTTCTGTGCTTTATAGATAAGTAGTACACTGTTTTGAGGTATGAATGAACTGCTTTTAAATTGGTTGAAATGTTTCTCCTTGACAAGTTTTACACTCTTTGTCATGTTCTGTTACAAAATAAAACATTCAGAACTAATTTATTTATTTAAAATTTTATTTATTTGTTTGTTTATTTATTTATTTATTTATTTATTGTGTGTGTGTGTGTGGCCAGCTCAGCCCACCAGGGGGCGGGGCTGGCTGGCATGTGGTGCTGGGGGATTGAACCGAGGTCCCTGTGCTTTGCTAAGCTTGTTCTAAGTAGGTGCCTTAGACCACTGAGCCATCTCACCAGCCCTCAGAACTAATTTAAATAATTATCACTAGCTAATTTTTCCTTGTCTGCATTTTCCTGTTTGCTTCTTTTAGCAAAATTTTATATGAAACTTTGCCTCCCATCCTTGCAAATATTTTGTTACATTAAGTATTCCAATTTTTTTTAATATTCCAAAGTTGATGAAAACTACTTGCTCACTCAATAAGTATTCCTTACATACTGATCTCCAACCTACGTCATTCCAGTACTTTTCAACAATAGCAGTGAATTTTTCAACATTTTCCTCTTTAACTCTACTGTTTGTATAATGGGTTTGATGGATATCTTGACTTCCAGCTTTTTCTTTTCTCATTAGCTGTTAACTACACGAAGGACTTCTTGTGTGGACTTGGTATAACCTTCATTAGCTGGTTCACCAGCCTTGTTACGGTTCTCATCCTAGCTGTGTTCGTCTCTCTTATCGGACAGTCTCTCTCGTGGTACAACCACTTCTATGTCTCCATTTGTCTGTATGGAACAGCAGCTGCTGCCAAAATCATTTTCATACATACTCTTGCAAAAAGATTTTATTACCTGGTAAGTAACAGACATTTTTTTTTTTTTTTTCTGCTTTCAAGGACTAAGTCAAGTAGGATTGTATTTAGTCTCTAATTGTATTTAGTTTTTTTAGTTATTAGAGATTGTTCAATGTGTTTATGGAAAACACTCCCATAACTGTTAATTTGCTGGAATGTTCCTTATTCTGAGCATTGTGCTGCAGAATGCAGATGAGGGTCTAAAGCTGTGCTGTAAATAGTGCTGAGGATGGGGTGATAGCACCACTCGCACTCTGCTACGCTTGCTGCACTCTCTGGGTAACGTGTGCTTGTATCTGCCAGCCCATGCCTGACTCATAGTTCTTATCTTTGAGTACTGCTGTTCTCCACTGGACTGTCAAGCTTCAGCAGGGCAGGGACTGTCTCATTCAACATGTATTCCTTTGTTTATGCAGTATCCGATACACAGCATTAACACAGAGAAAATACTTGTTGCTTAAAGGAATGTTGTGCTTAGAGTCTTCAGTTTTTCTCTTACCTGTATATTTGTTGATGCAGATTTTGATAGCACATTGCAAGGGAAAAAGTGGGAAGAAGAATGGTTCTAAATGATTTATATTGAGTATTAGAGAATGCTGTCACATTGTTATGGTGATAGCAGTATAAATGTGGAATATTTCCAAAGGTTACTTTTAGCCCTTGAGAGTAAAGCACAGATTAGATACAGCTTTCCTTCCATCTTGTGAAATTATTCTTCCTGTGCAGTCATTTTGAATTTGCTGTGTAGGACGAAGTTTGTGTTAACTTCGTCTGTTTAAAGCACAGACTCTGTCAAAATGAGATGTAGCTCACGTATGAATGACCTGTAAATGAGACTGTTTATTTTCCTTTCTTTCAGAATGCCAGTGACCAGTATCTGGGAGAAGTATTTTTTGACATCTCACTGTTTGTGCATTGTAGTTTTCTTGTCATGTTCACTTATCAAGGACTTTGCTCAGCGTTCATTAGCGCTATCTGGGTGGCATTTCCTTTGCTCACAAAGCTCTGCATGCACAAGGAGCATGGTAGGAAATTAGTTTTGATAAAGATGAAAAATACTTTAAAATATAGTGGGCTTTCAGTGACTTCGTTTTATTGTGTAGCCTTTCCAAATACTGATGATAATTATTATTATAGTTTGTTATTGTTGTGTTGAGGCAGGGTCTTGTTGTGTGGTTCAGGATGGCCTCAAACTTAATATGTAGTCCAGGCTGGCCTCAAACAGCAATCCTCCTGCCTCGGCCTCCTAAGTGCTTTTAAAATTTCTTTTTATTTATTTGATACAGGGTTTCACTACCCATTTCAGACTCATAGTGATCCTCCTGTCTTAGGAGGGTTATAGGTGTGCACCACCATGCCCGGTTCGAGGGCTGGTTTGGTGTGCACTACCAGGGATTGAACTTGGGACCTTACACTTGCCAGGCAGGTGCTTACACTGCTGTCAAGCTATCTCTTCAGCCCTGCTTTTTTATTTTTTTTATTTTTTATTTATTTATTTTTTTTTAAATATTTATTTATTTTTATTTATTACATTTATTTATTGTGTGTGTGTGTGTGGCCAGCTCAGCCCACCAGGGGGCGGGGCTGGCTGGCATGTGGTGCTGGGGATCGAACCGTGGTCCCTGTGCTTCGCCAAGCTTGATTCAAGTAGGTGCTTTAGACCACTGCGCCATCTCTCCAGCCCCTGCTTTTTTATTTTTGAGATGGGGTCTCACCATGTTTCTCAGGCTGGTGTTGAACTTGTAATCCCCCCAACTAAGTCTTCTGAGTAGCTGCAACTGCAGGAGTGGGCCACTGTATCCAAACCTTAGATTTTCATACCATGCACATTGTTATCTTCGCCTATAGCCCATTTCTTTCTCATGTTTATGAACATATACTAATATATTACTGGTACATTTTATTTTATCCTCTCTGCATGAAATTATGTTATTTCACTAGATAACACACATTGAAGGGCAAGTATCCCATCTAACCTAATCTCTGTTAGTTGCCAAGACCCATCACTATAAATATCTGCAATCTCAGGGTAATGTTTCATAGATGGTTTTCTTTCTTTCTTTTAGGTGTCCAAGGAAAATTTATCATCCTTTACCTTTTGGGGATGTCTGTTCCTTATCTTTATGCATTGTACCTCATCTGGGCTGTATTTGAGATGTTCACTCCTATCCTTGGGAGAAGCGGTTCAGAAATCCCACCTGATGCTGTGCTGGCGTCCATTTTGGCCGGTTGTGCAATGATTCTCTCTTCCTATTTTGTAAGAAAAAACATTTTGCTTTTTAAAATATAAATATATGATGAGGTTAGCAGTACCAGAGCCTGTGAAATAATGTTGCTTGTATTTTGAGAAAGTCTGAAGAAAAAAAATGGTGAATGGTTGTGCATCTTGTGGGCCTGTTATGGTAAGGATGCATTTCTGTTGTTCTTGTGATTTTAATTTTTGCCTCCTCTTTCTCCCAAATCCTCTCATTAGAGGGCTGGTGAAATAGCTCAGCAGGTTAAAGCGCCTGCAAGCAGGTTCAGGAGCCAGGGGGTGCGATCTCTGGGTCTGTGGTGCTGGCCCTGCCCCCAGGGCATGCTGAGACAGCAACTGAGACTGGGCATGGTGGTGTGCACCTGTAATCCCAGCTCTTGGAAGTCTGTAAACAGGCGGATCACTGTGAGTCTGATGTAGTAGTGAGACCCTGAACACCCTGTAGACCCTTCCCTAAAATACAAAAAACAAAAAACTTAAATCCTCTCATCAAAACCCTTTTCAAGTAGCTTTTCAAACTATCTGAATGTGAATTTGTAGAATGCACACTAGATGAGAATTGTTGAAGATTCCCTTCAGATGATTCTTTAGACTCGTTCCTGAATATGTTTGTTAGAGGTAAATATTAATAAATACATTAGAGCTGGGGAAGGAAAGCTAATTTTGATGAGGCATCTTAAAATTTTTACATCATTGCTGGTATGTCAAAATTCATTAATTGCATCTGTCTTCTTGGGTGATACACAATTATGAAACCCAGACATGCCTTCAGTTAGCAAGTAATAATGCGTATCACTGTCCTTGTCAGTCTTCAATTGCTGTTGTCAGTTTTCTGCCCTAGTAGGGAAAAACTTTGCAGTCCTTGTTTTCCCCTTGGGAAACTCTAGAGGGCAGACAAGATAGTGACACTCAATTTAAGATGAACCCCAGTCAGGGTTTTAGATAAGGTTCTTCTAGAGAACGCAGGCTCTTTGTATTCTTATTTATGTGTAGTAATGTTAAAGGTAGTGCTTAATTAGCAGAGTAAAACTGTTCTCCTTAGGTAATGGAAAGTTTAAAACTACTGTGCTCACTCAGAGAGCTTTTCTTTCATTCCATGGGGATAGAGTAAATATATTTTTTTATGAAGCAGTTAAATTTCTGTGACGTTACCAGTTGACAGGTTTCCTGCATTTCCCTTTGCTGGGTTGTCATGATTATACTGATCTGACAGTGCTACAGTGGGACTGCTGATAGGAGTGGGATTAGAAGGAAGAGAGTTAGCTGGGCACGGTGGCACATTCCAGTAACACCAGCTAAGGGAGGCTAACGATTGGAGGAGTGCAAGTTTGATTCCAACCTGGGCAGTTTAGTGAGACTTTGTCTTCAAGTAAAAAAAGTGAAATGGCTGGAGACATAGTTCAGTGTAAGAGTGAGTGAGTATCCAGCACATACATGCCAGGCCCTCTGGCTGGTCCTTGGTGTCCCCCATCCCCAGAGGAGACTTGGCCAGAGGGTCAACATCATACTACTGGACATTTTATTCCTCTTTGTGCTTCTTTTCATTTTACTTTGCACTTGTTATTTACCTGAAGAAGCAGGGTGTGGTGGTACATTCCTGTAATCCTGGCATCCTCGGAGGCTGAGGCAAGAGAATCACAAGCTTGAGCCCAATCTGGACAGCTTAGTAACTTTTAAAGATCCTATCTCAGAATAAAAAAGGGCTGGTGATAGAGGTGAATACCCAGTCTCAAAACAAAAATAAAACATCCCTCAACTACAATATGAGGGCAGAAGTAGAATTGGGAAGGTGGGTCCTTTCTTCCCCTTTGTTCTCTGATTGCCATTCTGTTTATCACTGTTAGCAAAGAAAGCTCATCCAGAAGTGGAAGAGGCATTAGATGAACCTCCTGTAGTAGAGAAGACGGACCTTGACTATTGAAGTGATAGCTTACAGTGAGATTTTATGACAACTTTGGGAGTACCTGGCTTGAGAATGACAAAAACCATAGCATTATGACAGTGAGGTTTTTTCTTTTTAACTAAAAGATTGTTTTTTCCTAAACTTACAGACTTTCCAGTAGATGGGAAACTTAGGAGGTAGACTTGTGACCCTTAGGAGGTAGAAGGGCAGACAGGGTTACTAATTTTCTTTTGCTAACTTACTGTTTTAAGTCCTGGGCATTTTGTCCTATTTCTTTAATTACAGTGAACCAACAAGCTTTTTCACCTGAGAATGCTGTTTTGTTGGAGATTATCCCTGATTGACTACTGGAACACTTTAGATAGGAAAATCCTTTCACTTGGCTTAGTAGATTCTATTTGCATAACCTTTCATTTTCTTCTTGATAAAAGTGTTCTTGCATTCATGTTACTTTATTGTTTTGTAGAACCGAGGATTGAACTCAGGCCCTTGCGCTTGCTAGGGAAGTGCTTATTCCACTGAGCCATCTCCCTGACCTCTCATGTTATTTTTTACCTACTGAACCTAGGTGGTAGGTGGTGGACTATTAGGTAAAGAAAGAGAAAGTAGGCTCTAGGGTTAGATCACTGTTTCTCAAAATGGCTTTCTTTAGATCATTTCAGACCCTGAAGGAAATGCCTGGCTCACCCAAAAGTCTTGTGAATCTTCTTCCATTTTTAATTTAGTGATCTGGTTACAGATAAAAAGTTAAGTAATATTTAGTGTTTTGTGGAAGTCAGTCTTGAGATTAAGACATTAACTTCTGCTAGGCAAACTTAGACTTGTTCTGATTGTGTTGACACTGGTCTTATGGTCTAAAGGGACAGTATTGTATTTGTAATAGTTTTTCCTCAAATGCAAATTAAGTCCACAGGCAGTCCTGAAGGATATCTAAATGCTAATTTATATGAATCCAAGTCTTTGGCACAGCTTAGAAACAGCGGAATTTGAGTTTTATTGAAACAGATCTGCTTAAATTAAAAAAGCTTGCATTTGGTAGTTTAGTTTTTATTTTCACTTTTTGCTGGCCTGTGGCTTGAAGTCAGAGCCTTAGCATTGTGCTACATCCTCCTATATCCCTTCTCCCGTTTTTTTTTTTTTTTTTTGAGATAGGGTCTCACTATGTAGTTCAGGCTGGCCTTGAGCTCACTTTGTAGTCCAGGATGGTCTCGAACCTGCAACAATCTTGCTGCCTCAGCCTCCTGAGTGCTGAGTATACAGGCATGTGCCATTCTGCTCAGCTCTCTCTTATCTTTACTTTAAAATTTATAATTATTGGGGCTGGTGAGATGACTCAGTGGTCTAAAGCACCTACTTAGAACAAGCTTAGTAAAGCACAGGGACCACGGTTCAATCCCCCAGCACCACATGCCAACCAGCCCCACCCCCTGGTGGGCTGAGCTGGCCACACACACACATACATACATAAATAAATTTAAAAAAAATAAAATTATAATTATCATCATTTTTTGGTACTGGGGGTTGAACTCAGCTTCTCTATACAGAGCTATGTTCCTAGGCCTTCTTAAAACTTTTACTTTTCAGACATGGCCTTGCTAAGTTACCCAGTCAGAGCTTGAACTTTTAACCTTCCTGCTGTAGCCTACCAAAGTGCTGGGATTACAGGTATGTGCCATTATGTCCAGCTTTTTTTTTTTTTTTAATTGAGGCAGTTTCTCACTAAGTTGTCTAGGTTGGGCTTGAACTTGCTAATTGTCCTGCCTCAGCCTCCTGGAGTGTTAGGATTACAGGTGTGTGCCACTATGCCTAACCTGTTTGGTAATTTATTGAAACCCTCAGGACCCTAATTTTTGGTGCAATTCAGTGCTGCCTGCTGTGAAATGTTTGCTATCAAAGACCATTGATGAAATCAAATAGTTTATGACTTGGCTGGTCATGGTCTACATTCTCTGCTTTCTGCTGATTGAGCATAAGAATGTGGTGCTCAGTTTTTTTTTGTTCCCTGAGGCTTTCTGGCAGCCTGCCAGAAGGTACCATCCTGGCCAGTTGGAAGCATCTGTGATTTTCTAGACTTCACTTGTGATGGAAATCCCCTAGAACTAGTGCTTTATTTTCACATACTGATAAACTTTCTTCATTGTTTGCTGAAAAATACCTTTTACAAAATAAAGTTAGAAAAAGCATCTGTCTGAGCCAAGCATGACACATGGCTGTAATCAGTACTCATTACAGTAGAAACAGGAGGGTCATGAGTTCCACTCCTGCCTGGGCAATGCAGTGAGACTGTTTCAAATTAAAAACATAAGAGGGCTAGAGATGAAACTCAGTGAGAATGCCCATTACAGATTAAAAAAGAAAAAAAAAAATAAAACACCTTTCTGCCAGTAAACATGTAATTTTTCTATATTTGTGTTTTAGGTGAACTTCATCTATCTTGCCAGAAGCACAAAGAAAACCATACTAACTCTAACTTTGGTATGTACAGTTACATTTCTTCTGGTTTGCAGTGGAACCTTTTTCCCATACAGCTCCAGTCCTGCTAATCCAAAACCAAAGAGAATGATTCTTCAGGTAAGAGCAATTTTTTGAGAGTTGAAATTCAGGAGGGGAAATTTTCCTTGTGTTTTGATCTTTAGTAGTAAATAGGAAACTCAATGAAGTTCTGCTCTTGACCTGTTTGGTTCTCTATTCTTTCCTGTGTAAAAGACCGAGGAAAAGGACTGACCACTAGGGGGTATTCTTATTAGAGAAACATATTTCTTCTAAGAGGCAGAATTAGAAATGTTTAACAGTACTCAAATTACAAAATTGTACTTGTTTGGAAAAACAAGAGCAAATAGCAGGAGATAATGGGTTTTTAGAAAAACAGATTGTAAGGGACCAGGGAGATGGCTCAGTGGAATAAGTGCTTCCCTGGCAAGCACTAGGGCCAGAGTTCAATCCTCGGCTCTGCCAAAAAAACGAAAAATAGATTGTATAAATGTCTGCAGACTGAGTAAAGAGCTTAACAAGATGAGACATTTTAAAATATCAGTAAAATGCAGCTTAGCTAGGTGGGTGTGGTCATGCAAACCTGTGGTCCCAGTACTCTAGAAGGCTGAGGGAGGAGGATTACAAGTTCAAGCCTAGCCAGGGTAATTTATTGATTTAGGCAGTCTCAAAATTAAAAAAAAAAAAAAGACCAGGGATATAGTTGAGTGCAAAGGCCCTGGGTTCAGTTCTCAAGAAACAAGTAAATAAGAATACATAAAAGCTCAGGTAACATTGATGTGATAAGGAAAATAGGCTAATGCAGACAGGTGTTATTAAAATGAGGTACAGAACTCCTGGAGCATTTTCTTCTTTTAGTGCTGATATAAAGCCTCAGCTTCATTTTTAGTCATCTGTGTTAAGGGTTGTGAACGGCTTGTGTCAAAGGAGTTATAACCTGGTGATTGAAGAACTGGGAAAATTAAGAATATCTAACATTTTGAAAGTGGGCCCAAAACATCTTGCTTATAGTCTTGAAAGACGCTGGTATACTTTATGTGGCACCTTTGATAATTTGCAAAGCTTTTGTGAAGAACAGAAGGTTCACTGTGGTTTCTCTTGGGATGCTAATTTTTATAATCATGATAGTAAGATTAGGAAAAGCTAGATTTTTACTGAAAAAAAAAAAATTCATTTGTTTAGAGGTTCTCTTTTGGCCCTGTGCCAGGAGTTGACAAATTTTCCTGTGAGGGCAAACTAATAAACATTTTAGGCCTTGTTGCCTAGTCTTTATTGCAGTTCATCTGTTTTATAGAGCAAAATTAGCTGCAGGTTAAATCTCAGCCAGTGTGTGTGGCCGTGTTCCAATAAAACCGTACAATCAGCGAGTAATCTGGCCTGATAGCAGTTTACTACTCCTTGCCATATGCAGCTCTTTTTGTTTTTCTATTCAATTTTTTGGAACTAGTTTCTGCTTTAAGCACTTTAACAGCGTATCGTGAGTATCACTAGAGCAGCACGATTGTTTGCACACCATCTTGAGCATTGGTCGCTTGGGCAGGTGTTATTTCAACTAGTTGCTGTAGTGAGTAAGTTTAATATAATTGTCTGGAAAATGTGATTTTTTTGGTCATCTTTTATTTAAATAGTTGGCCTGGTAAGTGGTTAATAAAACTGTTCTTTTAGAGTAGTGCTTTTGACAGAATTCTGTTAGCTTGTTACCTCCTACTGGAGTTTGACTCCTGTTTTTCTGTGCATATGAATTAGCTTCCTGTAACACACCAAAGGGAAATGGCTGCGAATGTGTATGTTCAGGATGTACTGTATTTAATTCCTTTTCTAAAAGGTATAAAATTCATGCCTTTTAAGTTGTTGGTTTTTTTTTTTTCCTGCTTCTTTCTGAGATGAGGTTTTGCTAAGGCTGGTTTTGAGTTCCTGGGCAATTAATCCTCTTGCCTTCACCTCCTGAAGCTGAGACTACAGGTGTACATCACTGTACCGAGTCAAAATTTTTATATAAAATTAAAATATGAAAATATATTTGTAGATACAATAAGATACAATAAGACAGTCATTTACATATCTGTCATCCAGTTTAGAAAGATACATCTCTAGCCATAATCTGAGTAAACCTAAGTATTGTTTTTTTCATTGGGCCACAACTACATTTCTTGGTATGGTTATATTTTACTGTCTTTATTAATCTGTGTTGGGAATATAGAAAGTATATGAAAAGTTCTCATTAGTCTTGTTCTTTTCAGCATATGACTAGAACATTTCATGACTTAGAAGGCAACATAGTTAAAAGGGACTCTGGAGTATGGATTAATGGGTTTGATTATACTGGAATGTCTCATATAACACCTCACATTCCTGAGATCAATGACACCATTCGAGCTCACTGTGAGGAGAATGCACCCCTTTGTGGGTTCCCATGGTATCTTCCAGTGCACTTTCTGATCAGGTTGGTTCATTACTTTTCTATGTAAATTGGGTTTTAGTTTGTTGTCAAGTCCTATTAGCATATTAGAGCTGTCTTATTTAAGCTGTTACCCTTAACCCTCAAGTCATATCCTATTACTATTTTTTCATCACTAGAGAACTACTTCAATGTATTGAAATTTTAACTCAGGTTTTTTTTTTTTTTTCAAATTTAAAGTCTTCTATGAAACTGAGCACTTGGAAAGGGTGACATTCCTTACAAATATAGTAGCAGTTAAGCATTAGTCTCCAATGATTTTATTTCTGGAAAGTTATTATAGTTTGGCATCAAAGAACAGGATGAAGAGAAATAGGATATATAGTGGAAATAAAGATCACCTAGTGCTTTAGTGAATTCCTTGTTGCTGGGACAAAATACCCAATAGCCACAGTCTAGAGGAGGAAGCTCATGTTTTTAGAGGGTTCAGTGCATAGTTGGCTGGCTTCAGGACAGGAGGGGTGCCATGGAAGGGCTCAGTGCAGAGGAAGCTTAGTTTTGGCAGCCAGGCAGTCAAGAGTAAAGAAGGGAGATACACCCTTCAAGGTCCACCCCTAGCCATCACCCTCTTCTGACCAAACCCTACTTGCTAAAAGCAAGTGTGCTGTAGTGCCCCTATAATCCAGTAATCTAAAGGCTGCACCTCTGAGAACATACTTCTGGGGGATGCTGTTACCTAAGTATTACAGTTATTTTATAGGTACTACAGTTATTATGTAGGTAGTACAGGTATTATATACCTAGTTACTATAAAGTTGAGGTTTTATTATACAATCACGACGGACTGAGAGAAGTTGGTGTCCTTTATCATATCTGTCAGTTTGTTTCTTGTCCAAAGATGTGTTCATGTATTTTAAACGCCCTTCTGTGATGGATAGCTATCAACTAATAAGGCATCCTAAATATTGAAGCTACCTTTCCAAATAGGAAAAACTGGTATCTTCCTGCTCCAGATGTTTCTCCAAGAAATCCTGCTCATTTCAGACTTATATCCAAAGAACAGACACCTTGGGATTCAATAAAGTTGACCTTTGAAGCAACGGGTAAGTGAGATGTTATTTTCTGCATCCTCCTCCCCCCCTTGCTTTGTGCTCCCTGCACTCAGTCCCTAGTACTATAAACTACCAGCCAAACAAACACCCCCCCAAAAAAAATTACTTGTAATTTTTGAGTACCATAATAAATTTAAGAAATTGAGAGTTATACTGTACATAAACTGAGTGATTTGCCTTTGTTCAAATTTGTTTTTCATTTAGGAGTATTAAACAGTTTTCTTCATGTAGAGTTTGTTGCTATTTATAACTTGGGGCTTTGTCTTTTCAGATTTAGGTGTCAATATTATATGTCAATCAGTTATTTTTTGTAGTTCTGAGGGCAGTAGATTTGTTTTTATATCCTGCTACCTCACTTTCATTTTTTGAGCTAGTTTAATATTTAATACTGTAGGATTCATCAAGTGTATCAGGAATTGTAAAACTTTTATAAAGGGCTGGATAGTAAGTGTTTTAGGTTTTGCCACATATATCTTTATAACACATTCTTTTGTTTTTGTTAATCACTCTTAAAAATGTGAAAATCCCTTCTTTTTTTCTGGTGGAACCAGGGATTGAACTCAGGCTTTTGCGCTTGCCAGGCAAGTGCTTGTTCTACTGAGCTATCTCCCCGGCCCCTGGAAATCCATTCTTAACCTGAAGAGAAGACCTCAGATGGGGTTGACTACTGTGCCATTTATGATAAGTTCTTTTATATTCTCAGAACTGTTTGAATTAGTAATAATTCTAACATAGTATAGAAGATACGGATATACCGAATATCCTTTCTTTTTGTTCCTATTAGAGTAGATGTCTGTAGTGCTTCCCTATTTGTAAGATACTGCCCCTAAGACTAAGGTGCATATGTTGTGTTCAGGCATTCATCAATTGTCAGTTTTGTGAATTTTTAAAATCAGGAATGGATAATTTTGTGAAAGGCTTTTTAAGCATCTGTGATTGTAATCATAAAATTTTTTAACCTTGTGTCTTTTATCATGGTATATCCCACTAATTCCTGACCTATAGTTTCTTTAATGTATGTGGGACTTTATTTGCTAATGTTTTCTAATGTTAGAAATTTTCCATCACACATATGAAAGATACTGGCTTTTCCTTTGTTCTTTTCATTAGATTGAGGTGTCAGTGTTATATGTCATAAAAAATTATCTTTCTTTCATTTCCAATATCCTGAAACAAGTTATGGAGCTGGGGCTGGGGAGCAATCCCCGGTTCCGCAAAAAAAAAAAAAAAAAAAAAAAAAGACCAGGGATATAGTTGAGT